GAAGCGCCCCTGACAGCAAAACAGCACAAATTAAGTCAAGAGTTATTTAAGTGCATCTCAGGGACATTACAGAGGTCTGACAAAAGGTAGCTTCTGTTAGACAATTGTGTTTAGTATTCATGTAATTTCACAATATGAAACAACATTAAAGATTATATATTGTAAAGATCGTTAAGATTGTTAATCAACATTTCAAGTAAAAACTGTTCAAATAAAAGTTTCTCTTGCTTTAATGAAAGTGGTTAAGTCCAGATAAGGTTCAGGTTCAGGTTATTTATTTGTACCCGTAGGTAGATTCTGTTTGCAGATAAAAAGACAAGGGTTCCATCCTGACACTAAAAACAAACACAAACAACAGACACATCTCTAATAAAAGGACTAGTAAAAGTACAAGTATACCCTGCTCAACCAAATCTCAAAATATTTAAAAAAAACATTTTAAGAAGGAAAACACTAGATAAGATAGATAGATAACCTATAATGTTTTGCTGTTGTTCATTACAAAGTAAGAACGTTCTGTTAACTTGTGTTTTTTATTGTTTTGTGGAACAATTTCTTAATTTATACACATTTTGAATAGAGTTAATGTATTGCTATTTATTCTGCATTAAGCTTTTCTTACCCCTATTAGCACTCCAGCAGTGTGGGCTAATCCTATGGCGAGGTTTCCTGGTTCTGTGCTTTCCCTCCGTCGCTGATCCTCCACTGAGAACACGGTGAAAACCATCTGGAAGGTGCACAACACCTCCATGCCCAGAGCCTGGGCTGCATTCAGCTCTATGGGAACCTGAGGGAGGTCAAACAGGAAGGGAAGAATGAAAAGTCAGGAATATTCGGAAAATATGTAATGAAATTCTTTAAAAGGTAGCCAATTTATAATCTGTGGACTGACCCTGTTGACGAAAATGTCTGCAGTGGATTTGACTGGCAGGGCCAGGTAGAGGGCCCCGGCTCCTAAAGTGGCCCCCAAACACTGTGCAGCGATATAAACAACGGCCCTGAGAACATCCAGCCTGCGAGTGGCCAACAGAGCCAGAGTCACTGCAGGGTTCACCTGATCAGAGAAAACAAACACTTATAAGCCAACAGCAGCCAGGGGTGGAAAGTAAATGTACTCAGGTACTTTATGATGCTTTTTACATCAATTGAACTACATTTCAGAGGGAAAATATTGTACTTTTAGATGTACTTTTATACATTTTTACACAAGGAAAAGACTACATATTACAAGATTGTAAAATACAGAATAAAAGGTGTCTCTAGTTGTGGCCCCTGAGTGCTCCCACCATAAACTGGTTTCCCCTCGAACTTCTCAGATGGTTTCATTAAACCACGATTTCAATCTCAAAGAAGTCAAAGTATCCACAGTGTTGTAGTTTTTTCACGCAAAGAATAAAGAAAGAAACCAAGAATATGACAGATTAATGTTGCAGAACTTTGTTTAAATGTAATTCTTGTTGCAATTTATCTTGTGACCCTTCGGGGCGGCCCAGCCACTAGACTGGTATACAAAATGTAAAATGCTACAACATTAACAAACTTATATCGTCATACATGGTAGGTCTCTAACATGAGTCGTAATGAGCGCTTGTACTCTAGATAATGTTGCTGTACTAAATTGTTGTTGATATTAAAGTATTTTTTTTTTACACAGTGGTGTTGGTGCTTTAACTTGAGTAAAGGATCTGAGTCAAACTGCTATGTCACCTACAGCAGAGAAAATCTATCAGAGGAAGAAAAACACAATTTAAAATGTTTGAGGCGTTCACCTGTGCCCCGCTTATTTCTCCAAAACAGTGTGCCAGCGCAATAATTGACACCCCTACTGCCACTGCTGGGTACAGGGGTCCCGTGGAGGCCTCTCCCGGGCCCGGCATAGAGGCCCCCAACACAGCGCTCACTAGGATCATGGTGCCGAGCAGCTCAGCAAGGATGGCGCACCAGAACTGCCGACTTCGTAGCTCCATGGAGAAAGGAGACATAAACAAAGGTGGCTTATATTTAGATCACCAAATGTATTTTTTCAAACTCTGACCAGAGCTTGGATTTATGATAAAAAACTAATCGAAATATCACAAATTAGTTTGAATCTACTTTATAAGACAGACCTTCTACTGCTATAAAAGTGTAAGAAATGTGAAAGTGTATAAAAAGAAAATCAAGAGAATCATAAACATTCCTTATACTATCATTATATCTAACAAAATAAGTCAACTCCTTGTCAGTATTTCAACTCCGGTACAAGTCGTCTACAAAAATGGTTTGAAATGCGTCACATTTACCGAAATATAATACATCCTAATATTCTGGCCTATAAGAAAGTCCTGGGAAAATTGAAAGTGCATTGAAATGGGAATACATAAAGGACTGCAACTAATTGTTTAAAGCAATGTTTTTTAGCTTATACAGTAGCTGCGTATTTGATTCAGGCTTCTTCCAAATCAAGGAGTATTTTGCAACACAGACAAGTATATAAAATGCTTACCTCACGCCACGTCATTTCAAACCCAAAAGTATGTATTTTTCTGTGTATGTCCGTCTGTTTGTGTGCTCGTCCTTCTGCCTGTGTGTAGCTGTCAGGGTCTGAGGGCTTCAGGGTCTAAATCCCTCATTAACGTGTAGAGTCTGAGAGGTCCTTTGAAGAGGGTAGCCTCCCCTCTCTCTCAGTCTCTCTCTCCTCACCCTCTCCTTACCCCACACCAATCAAGTCTTCCTGTGCACACACACAAGGTTGCATGTATATAACACCCTAACTCTCCCAAAGCACCCCATTCTGCTGACCTTGAGCAATTTATACATCATCCAAAGACCTGAAGTGTGATGTCCTTTAACCCTCCTTTTTCATCTCTGTCCACTTAATACCTGTGATGTACTGCTCCGGTCACCATGGGGATAACCTCTTTCATGATGCTGTTGCCATAGAGACTTATTATGATGCTGCATCAGTGCATGCTTTTAATTTCACTCTTTGATATCAGACAAATGTGCACCTTGTGAAGACGTTTGGTTTTACACACAGAATTCCCCTGTTTGAGTTCAAACTGATAACAGGCACCTCTATGATGTGGGCAAGCAACAAGTCGCAGCTGCTTTTTAACATCTGGATATCGTTGTTTTAATTGCAGTATTTTTACACCATTTAATTTAATTTATTATTTATTTTGTTGAGCACCATATACTGAGTATTAAAATAACTGGCAACAGGAACTTCCACACACAACCTTCGTGTAGTCATCAGAGCACAACAGTTTTAAACAATGTTGTTGTACATGAACAAAATAATCGCCAAACATCATTTAAGCCCTAAGAGATTTAGAGTTTTCATAAGGGTTTTCCACAATTAAAAGGAGAGAGATTTATCCCCAACCCACTTGATCATAATAGCAATAAAAGCCAACATAGAAATAACTTTAAATAAAAGTTTTGTGTATCTTACAAACAAAGCTGACAGAATAGTTAAAACCTACAACTTACTGACTGGTCTTTCTGACCATAATCTTGTTCTTTTTGCCAGGAAACTCACAAAAAAAAAGATTCATGGCCACAGCTAAAACCCCTGCCTTCGGTTCTCGCTTCATCCCCGAAAACCTGCAACAACGTTTTATGGAGGCAGTGAAAATGATTGATTGGGGGGACACTCTCTCCTCTGAAGACATTGGTGAAAACAGTAATCTGTTTATATCTAAAATTAACGATGCAATGTCTTCCTTTTCAAGGGATAGGGATAGGAAGGAACATCATCTTCCCTGGCTGAATCTACAATGCAGGAATCTCATGAAATCTAGAGACCAACTATTAAAGCTATGAAATCCGGACTATCCACTGATAGACAGAAATGCACTCATGCTCGTAACAAGGTAACACAAACAATAAGACAGGCCAAAGCTAACTTTTTCATCAATATAATTGAAGGTGCGAAAGGTAACAGTAAAAACGTTTGGCAAATCCTAAATAGACTATTAGGTAAACATAAGAAACAGGAAAATAATGCTCTACAATTAATAATCAATGATGCCCTGATAAAAGACCCTGCCGTGTTTGCCAGCTCACTCAATGAGTATTTCTTAAATAGTGCTTTGGACATTGCAAAGCTCTTCCCGCCATCTGAGGGCTCACCTAGCCCGACTGTGGATACACACCCCGTTTTTGACCTGGAGGAAATCACAGAGGTTGAGGTAACAAATATAATCTTAGGGTTAAGAGGTTCTAAGGCTATGGATGCAAATGATTTAGACACCAACTTTATAAAGACATATCGACGGTCTAATATAACTTATGCTAGTGAATCAATCTATCAGCACGAGGGAAGTTCCATCATCCTGGAAGGTGGCCACGGTGACACCGATTTTTTAATCTGGGGATAAGGCAATCATGTCTAATTACAGACCAATCAGCATCCTCCTCTGTGTCTCTAAGATAGCTGAGAAATGGGTGTCAAAACTAATCACCAAACATTTAGGCAAAGGTTTTGTGGAACAATTTCTTAATTTATACACATTTTGAATAGAGTTAATGTATTGCTAATTATTCTGCATTAAGCTTTTTCTCCACCCAATGCATTTTGGTTTCCGTGCTCACCACTCCACTGAGACAGCTAACTGTGTCTTTGTGGAAAAGTTTAAATATATGTTGGACACGAGCCCATATGTAGCTGCTGTCTTCCTTGATCTCAGGAAGGCATTTGACACCGTTGACCACCAAGTGCTCCTTACAAAGCTGACTTATTTCAATTTTTCGGCAGATTCAATACAGTGGGTTGAGTCTTACTTATTGAACAGAAAACAGTGTGTTTTGGTCCACGGTGCCAAATCCCCCTACCTTGTCAACCCTGTTGGGGTTCCACAAGGTTCCATTCTTGGACCATTAATGTTTTCACTGTACATTAATGACTTGCCTAATGTATGTCCTGAGTTGAATGTGCAAATGTATGGTGATGATGCGGTCATCTTTGTACACGGGAAAAAGACTGAAATAATCTCATCCTGTCTCTCAAATGCATTGGACAAGGTTCAACACTGGCTGAACAACATTTGTTTACAGTTAAATGTAAAAAAGACAGTATGCATGATGTTCAGTAAACGACCAGTCAAAATTGAAGGATCCAACGTGTTTTTAAACGGAGCAGAAATAGAACTAGTCTCCCACTTCAAGTATCTTGTTGTCATACTGGACTCGAACTTGACTTTTAAGAAACATATTAAGAAAGTATCCAATATCGTTAAATTCAACTTGCAAAATGTTAAACAAATCAGACCTTTCTTAACTGTCAATGCTGCAAAGTCATTCCTCCACTGTATGATTCTATCCCACATTGAATACTGTTTTACAAACGGGTCGTTTGCTTGTGCCACAAACCTGAAACCCATAGAACAGCTGTACAAGAGAGCTATCAAGGTGTTTGACAGAAAGCCATATTCATACCACCACTGTACCATCCTTGAAAAACACAATTTCTTGAGCTTTGACCATTTTAAGTCTTTTAAAAGTATGTGTTTTTTTAATAAATGTTTACATGGACTGCCCCCCCCCCCCCCCTTAGGGGAATCCATTCACACAAAAAACACTGGATGCTGCACTAGGTCAGAAACCAGAGGAGACTGTGAAGTCCACTGCAGACGGACCACTTTTGGACAAAATGTCCTCTCCATTAAAGGCAGCTCATTGTGGAATAGCCTCCCAACTGAGATACGGGATTGTCCCACTTTGAACAGTTTTAAAGGTCAACTCAAAGAATGGTCGAGAAACAAACAGATGTGCAATCACTGCTAAATGCACTTTAATAAAGGGGAATCTCCTCTTGCACTTTAGGTAGCTCTTGTATCTTCTCTTGCACTTTATATATCATAGCTGCTATATTGTACTGCCATGTGGTAAATACTTGTGTATGCTGCTCTTGCTCTTTTTGCATATCATGTATTTTGTTTTTGCTATGTTTGTAAAAGTTCATTTTCTTAAATATTTTATGTGAGGGACTGCGGATGGAAATTAGCTAAATCTGAATGTTTTAAGTGTTCATTATTGTGCATTGTCCCCGCCAAATAAACGATTAAATAAATAAAGAATCCAGAAAACTTCCAAGTTGTCATAAAGTGGGCTGGGGAGCAGATGAGGCCCTATAGTGGTTACTTTTTATCAAATTGCTGAGAATAATCGAACAAATATTCACTCCTTAAGACCAGGTACTTTAGCTTCAGTAAGTATTTTCCACTTGAGACCATTTGGAGAAGCTCCTGTTGTACATTTACCATAATTATATAGAGATATGTTGACATTGTGTACAATAATATATGGTCTGCAGCAGAATAGGAGCCGGTGACATGATGTGGAGATGCTTGGAGATTGATCTGATTCCTCTGTCCTTACGGGCATCAGGGACCCTCACTCTGTCAGACAGAGTCCAGAATGAACTGGTTGGTTGTGGGGGGGTGCCCCATTATGCCGTGGATTACCCCCTCCTCTCCACGGCAACTGTTAAACTGTTATCCCCCCTTTTGTGGGGCTAAGCCCGACTGTGTAGAGTGGGGCGGGGGGCGGGGGTGGGATGTGCACACTGGAACCCGCTGGCGTGGGGAGTTTTCAGCCCCCACCGCCCAGAGTGCTGACACTGACATAATTTCACACACACACACACACACAAAGTGCCAGCTCAGGGATTTGAATGAGCGATAGAGGACAACGAGAGGGAGAGAAGAATTTAAACACACTATATATGTTTTCTATATCTATCTTTGTATCCCTGTACATTTGTTTTGATATACTATGTACATTTAAGTGTTAAAATGAAGTGTGTGAATGTGTTGTTCCTGAGTCTCTGCCCTGTATAGCAGCTGGGGGTGATGGCAGGAGGTTCCCAGCAGCATGTGCCTCAGACAGGACCCTCCACGGAGCTGCAGAGCCCCGCCCAAACACTTCAGCACTTTTCCATCATGGTTAAAGGGTGTTTTACACTTTTAAATGTGATATATTACATGTGGCTGTGCTTATGTTACTTTGTTGTTTGTTAGACATATACCAAGAGTTATTTTGGTATAGTATGTAAAAAAACTCATGGTATAGTTAGTTTTTTTGACATACTATACCAACATACTAAACTGTGACTTGTTTCAACATGCCTTTTTTTACATATTTGTATACAATCTTTTTTTTACAACATACTTGATGTTATAACTTTTTTTCAACATGCTATGACTTTTCAGTCATGTACGATACCATGCCTTTGTTTCAGACATACTATACTATTCCTTTATTTTAACTTTAGTATGAATTTTTAACCTGTTTTATTTAAATGTTTCCATTTGACTTTTTTCAACATATTATACTAGGACTTTTTACGACATACTTTTCCATGACGTACATTCAACATACTATATTACTTTTCTTGACAGACTAATGTAAATCTCTTTTTAGGCATGCTTGTCACAGCCTGACCCTGTATTGCCTCTCTTCCACCTGGTGTGTTTCCCTCCTTGATGATTACCTGCTTTGCCCTGGCTGGTTTCT